CGCAAAACCGCAGAGCACATGTTAAAAAGTTTATATAAGCTCCTACATGTCCGTATCAGTTAACGTCAGTGAAAATAACGTTTAAAATTTTTCCTATTATTAAATTTGGTTTCAATAAATGAGATCTGAAAGGGAATGATCAATATTAGCTTGCTTATTCGCATTCATTTCAGAAAAAATTGTATACTGGATGTCTGAAAAAATAAGAGACAAAATAGGAAAAAATCATATAAATGAAGGTCTGGAAATGCCCAGTATGCAATGAAACTTGTTAATGTTGTTAATTTTGCTTTGGCTAATTAAAAATTATGACGTTGATGTTGCACGTCACTGTCTTTTTTGAAATTTTTGTTATTTACTTTCAATAAGCCACTACAATTACAATTTTTGATATGCTTGCGTTGTTTTAGTATCTTCCGTCGTTAAAAATATGAAAACGTATTCAAAATGATGAAAATGACAACCACCAACTTCATTGTAAGCAGGTAGCCTATGACGTAAGCATTTTCGCACAAGCCTTTTTAAAATTGAATGCCCCGTATATTGGCCTACGTGAACTTTTTTTGTTATGTTCGATTAATGAATTTGTGGTTGTTAGAGCCAGTAAATATTTATAGGGAACAATTTTATGGTATTTTTTAGAATAAGAGGAATTTCAGTTTAAGATGCACATGTTTTTTCTTAATCCTATTCAAAAGTCAAAGTTTATGATTTTTACTGAGTGTAACGATCGGTCTTGCGAACACTTGTCTATTAATTTATGACCGAAGACAAGGGTTCCTCCTAGGGGATGGTTCGAGTGGCTTTTCAAGTAGGTATTGAGTTAAACAGACGTGTTTTACTTTTTATAAAACTGAATTTTAGGACTTTAGTATCGTTAAGGATTCGGCCGGCATCGAAAGCCAATTGTTTCCGACGGGTTCTTTTTTACGAATTCGAGGCTTTGCTTGTTGAATTTATAACTTATCACTAATTATCTATCTTTGTTATTGTACATACTTTTTTACGTTACTTGTTTTTTTTTTACTAATTTGGTGAGTTTACTGAATTAAAGGGTTGTGTGTAAAAATACTACCTTTTATTTCAACGAATCGACGTGTTGCTGAAACGGGTAGTTTTGGTGACGCGATGGTGGTCATGAGTTGATCCATGGATGTATCTTTTATGTAGTTAGATATATTTAATTTAATTTTTCATCATGACAAGCAAAGCGACAATTTAAAATTGTTTTACTTGATTGTAGATATACTGTGAAGACGTACATGTGAAGCAATGAAAGTAGGAAAGCTTAATAACTTTGAAACTTAAACCGATAGCCAGTTTGGATTGCTCAATTTAAACTAAACGAGTTTTTTATTGGATCTCCTTTCCTATAATTCAAATTTAATTATTAATTGTGTCCATGTCCATGTGGTGATTATTTGACGGAAAACTTTGTTATTCTAATCTAGCGTATTATTTATTTTTCAGTTAAGGTTCCATCATATTAAAATATGAACAACCAACGTGTACAATTCTTTTTATTAATTTTCTTTAATGAACGTGTCGACAAATTCTGTTGTCCTCCAGATTTGAAATGATTTGCTAAGTGCATATCGCTTCGATGCGATTCTTTCAATCGCCAGCAAACTAGCAAACGCGACATTAAAATGTCGGTTTATATATACATTTTTTAATTTTAATATTCTTATTTATTGCAAAATTTATTATAATTCCATGAAATTTTTACATAACGTTAATTGACTCTTAGACTATATAATTGTTCTATAAAATCCCCATTAGCGACAATAACGGACTCAATCCGAGATCGGAAATGACTGCATTCTCAAATCAAAAGCCCTTACCACTTTACCAATTTAACAGTTTATAACATTTTTACTTTTTACAAAACTTATGAATTCTTCCTGCGTCGGTTTTTGCTGAGTCGAATTTGCTGACGCTTCGCCAATCATCCTGTTGGCCTCTTCAGAGCTTGACTGAAACTAAGCATATTGTTTGAGGGGGGCAGAGCAAAATGAGATGGTGTTTATGTCCCTCATTTAGCTCCGCCCCCCTCAAACAATATGCTTATCTACAGACGCGTTTATTTGACACGAGCGGAACGCAGCAGAGGGAGTGTCTAATAAGCAAGTGACTTAAAAAGTTTACCGAACGTGTTGCATACTATACTTTTTCTACGACCGTTAGTTTTTGGGTACATTTTGAATGAGAATTGACAAATGTCAAAATTCAAGGCGTGGGAAATATCTCCGAAAAGATCCGATTACTCCAAAACCCGTGCGATAAAATCCCGGAAATGTCCGAAGTGGCTCAGATCTGTGGGAAACGAAACTGACGTGATAAAGTGACGCTTCCCGCACGCTAGAACGATATGAAATTAGGAATTTTACAGACGGGAGTAGAAAAACTATATTGTATGTGCTGAATATTGAAGCGTCCAAATCCGGTATACTATATTTTGAGAGAATGCAGGATCTTAAATATTTCAGCGCCATTGTGTCGATTAATAATAATTATGTTTTGTTATCTTGTATAGTATCACTACACAATTATGAATTTACGAAACATAACACTTGAATGGGGGAATATTTCGCGACAACGCATGTACTGCATTTGGGCGCTTCAATACTCAGTGCATGTTGTCCTAACGCAGGACAGGGTGTAGAACCTACTATTAGCAAATCGCGGTACATTTTCTCCTGTGATTCGGCATACACTTTTCTAGGCTTGCGCCGCAGCATAGGAAATAATGCCAATAGACGGTCGGGTAATGGAATGCGACCATAACTGAGATGGAATTATCGTCTTAAAACAAACAGTTGTGGATTGACATTGGTATATGCATTTCCCGCGACTCGATATGATATTAAAGAAGTTTCGAGTCTAGATGCGAAAATTGACCTGTGCGGTATTTGTTTGCAAGTATTATTTATATTCAATATAAGTAATAGCGAAAGCGGCTGTGTATCATATTTATCTTACACGCAGAAAGGTCAGTTTCGGCTAGGAAACTAAAAAAAAATGCTTTGCCGATTTGCGTGTTTTGCGGTTATTTTCCAAAAGATAGAAGTTGCCGCACAGAACCGCGCGCCGCGCCGACTGCAACCCACACGTGTCGTTTCATTGTTGCAAAAAGAGGTGCAACGTTTCCGCTGCCCACGCACGCCATGCGGAATCGGTGATGGTGATCGCGAAATCGATGCTGATCTGAGATATATTAAGCTTTTTCTTTAAATGGAAGTTTTGTTTTATATTTGCGTGTTTTTTTTATCAGGAGAAAAATGACACATCTTGAATATATCTGATTCTTAATATTTATACAGAATCTCACGGTGCAAATGAGGAAATCGAATTTTTCGAAAGTATACGCGGTCGGTAGTGAAACACAAATTTGGGCAACCGCAAATTGGCAATGGCAATAATTGAAAATAATCAGAGTCGAAAAAAAAATTTATGTCGCGCATTTTTTCGATTATGTATGGTCGGGTATGTCAGTTTTCAGGAAAGTAATAAAAGACCCTGAATATTGCTCTTTTCGAGGGAAAATTATTATCCGCAATTGAAAGGTATTACAGATCGCAACGAAAGCGTATGTATTTCATATGTTTTGTATGGTTTCGTCAAAGTGAAAATTGATATTTCTCGTAAAAAAATTTTCTGAGGCGAATGAGGTGACCTTGACGTTGAATTGACCTTATATGTTTAAGGTTTTTGATATTTTCTTTTGTATTCCGCGCTATATTAAAAAACATATTAAATTTCGGAAATTTGAAGCTATCCACAGGTTCGGCAAAAAGACAAACTTCCACTTCAATATAACCAACTGACAAATATGGCACAATCGAAATTTTCGACCGTTTCGAGAAATTTATGAAAATCGAATTGAAAATCGCTATTCGTGGTTCATTTTTAAATATTTTCCATCATTGACATGATTTTGAAGCTGGGTCAAGTTCTTATTTGCAAGGTATTTTATACAATGCGCATGCATAGATGATACCAATTGATTTTGCGATTTTGCGTTATATATTGGTCCGCAGGAGCACTTTTATTACTTTTTTTAAGTTATCAGAACATTTACAATCCATTTCATATACGGCGATTCTCTTTTATCTCGATATATGATCACTTCTTTTTATATTTTAAACAGCATCTTTCGTAGTAGCGTCTTCACTACGGCGAATTTATATAAAACCTGACAACACGGGATTAATTAGGACTTTTCGGAATTTTTCAAAATGGGAATTTGGAAATGATGCAACTATTCCAGGAAATTGTACCAAATCAGTAATTTATTTATCATAAATAATAAATTTTAATATGTTTGTGGTGGCCCACTCGATCCGTTTTCAATTCGTTTTTTAAAGTCATCTGGATACTAACCTTGCATATTTTTGTATTTAGATTTTGGGTGTGAATGCCGTTATTAAAAATTTTCTAATAGGATACAATTCCACGATGTTATTTTGTAATTCCGATTGACCGATTTTGACCCTCTTTGGGATCGAGTAAAAGAAAATGACCAATCCGTTTCATTTTTAAATAAAATTTTGGAAACCAGGATTTTTAAAGCTCCTGATTAACCCAGCGTTGTAAGATTGTAAATGAATAAAAAAAGCGAATATTTTATAAAAATCGTTGGTATTCAACAATCGCAAGCAAGTTTAAAACAAAAAATAAGGTTTTTACGGATCCGTATAAAAGTAGACACCCTGCATATCCATCATTATACGAAAGTTGTATTTATTTATTTTGTTTCAATTTTCTAGTACCGTTTGCACCTAAATATTTTAATCAAATAGATTGACAAAAACTTTATAAACAAATTTAACTTTTAACGATTTTTATTGAATGTTAAAGACAATAATTAAATGTGTAAAATACTACTTGATGACCGCCTACATTGGAAGTGTAAGGAATTATAAATAAAGCATCCGACGGGTGGGATATACCAATCAGTTTTCGATTTTATTAGCCTTATTAAATATTAATATATTTACCAAACGCGTGTGTTTTCTCTGTTCCCGGTCGTCAATCTGAAAATAAAAAATAATTTAGTCAATTCAGCGGCAGAAATTATAAACTGATGGGTAAAATTTTTATCCAACGTGGTGACATTGACAACTTTGTAGGGAATTTCCATGGAACAACCTATTTTATATTACAGATCGGATCCTACTAAAAACTCATTTCCAGAACTGTTGGTGTTTGCGCAATCACAACCGACTTACTCGAATTTTAACAACACCGTTCTAATTTCTGCACTTTTGCATGTGGTCTATTACTTAAACATTTTGTGGAAGAAATAACTCGGGGGTGTTTGGTTTTTTTTGACATGGGTATCTATATGGTACCAATTATAGCGGCCAACTTTATTCGCTAACCAACACAACAGAGCGGGCGGTTTATGAATGGCATTACCAAGTACTTACTTGTCCCCCATATGAACATCTGCATTCGAAAATTTACTGATTTGATACAATTTCAAAGTGTACTTGAGTCATTTTGTAATTACAATTTTGACTTGTAAAAAAGAGCAATCTTACGTTGCCAAATTTTAAATAAAAATTGCAAATAATTACCTTTACCTATCATAAAAACCGGGGATAATAAAAAATATAGTACGCACAAAAAGTCAGTATTTAATGATCTTTAGAAAAATCATTTTCATAGATTATCATTAAAAATAAAAAAATTACGGATTTATACAAGCAGATAAAAGTGGACATCCTTTATAAAAAAGGACTAATTGTTCAATTCGATTCTCTAGTATATCCATAGGTACAATATCTCCGTGTAGTCAATTTACATCCATCCGAAAACTCTTTCTTTCTACCTATGTACCTACAAATGTAAGAATAAATTGTAATATAAACATATATCCGTAGAAACTTTGTTTTCAAAATGTGCGTCAAAGTTTTAATATTTTACCAAATATTGATTAAAATTGAATACTCCTCTGGAAGAAAAAGAGGATAATCATTATTGTCTTTTAAATTTCGGCTTGATAGAACAATGTTTTTTATATATTTATTTTTATATTTGTGCTTTATTTTTTATATGTTTAGTATATATTGCAGCAGCGTAATTATTAAAAACAGTACCAGTGCCGAATTGGTTTTGCTATTTGATCCCAAAGTCGGAGAAAGGTTAAAAACTTCTAATAAGATGTTTACATGCTCCTTTGAAATCTTTAAGAAATTTTTTATTTCAACAAAAAATTACAATTTTATAACCAATTTTTTTTGTCTGTAAATTTAAATATTCGCGTCCCTCATAAATGCCTATATGCGTCTTTGGAAAATAAATCCTGTATCCTGTTTTGAATTTGTGGTTTGGCAATGACCAACCATTGAAGTGTAACAACCGGTATTTCCAGCCATTATGTTGCGTATTTTTCAACCCAGAACTGGGTGACCCTAATAACGACCATATGTAATGGTGACGCAAATTGATTCATAAAAATACTATGAACACCACTCTAGATAGTTTTGTGAATGGGTTTCGCAAAATAACAACCGTTGCAATCTATATATTACGTCGCATGGGACCATCATTCGCCATGTTTTTTAAACTAAAAGTAGGACATGTGCAATATTATGCTTTTGCTGCAATAATTTTGCTTTTCTTGTACGTTCACACACCAAACGCCAAATGTTTTCGAAATTTAATTTATCAATATGTGTCTAATAGTTAAACATGACTCAAAGTTTACTAATTCTTGTTTTATGTAGGCACCAATTAAATGCAGCTTGTAATTTCAACAAATTCGAATTTCAATCTTGAATTTAGTTTTATACTACCACCAAGTACCTATTAAAAACTGTAAACCAGCAAATATTTGAAAATGTTTATACTTCTTCTTAGAGAAAGAAATATTTTCGATTCAATTTTAATATAAGTAGATAGAGAAAAGTACGGGAAATATACATCTATATATATATATATATATATATATATATATATATATATATATATATATATATACAATATAAATTAATATTTTACATTTATGTTCAATTCAGGTAATGTTTAGTAACAATATAGTTTACAGACAGTCACTTATACTTGCAGTTGATGTTTTTAAATAGTGTTGTATCAATCTCCCACCACAGGTTCCAGTTTTCAGATATCATCCACGTTTACTTTAGTCTTTAGTCCATAAGTTGATACCAAAAATGGTACAGAGTATTAAAGACGGAAATGAGAACTAGATATTTGATTTTGCAGAAACTAATCAACACCAAGATTTTAAAATTGCTACACTACGGTTTCTCAAGAATCGATTTTGCATGGAGCCATCGGACGCAGTGCACAAAGTGAGTGTTGCCTATGTATTTACATGCTTTTGGTCATGGGAATGATACCGAGGTTGAAGTTGAGAGTGGCAGAGCGAGTGTTTATTGCACGAGTGTCCGAAGGAGTTTATCAACGTGATGGAATTTTTTTCAAAGCAGCATGGGTACCCGGTGTGACCGTCATAACTGTCAAACGTCAAAGTACTTTCAGTATTTAAATTTATAACTAACTAAAGCCTAGAAAACAACATATTTAAAGAATTATTTTCTTTTATCTTATTTATTTTATCAAGATTAGCAAATTTTATTGTAAAAGATATTCGCACTCCGATATATGAAGATTTGTAATCGTTTGTTTTTTTTGGAATATTAATATTTTCAACAAAAAGAACAAAAAGATTTCGGATTCACCACTGATGATGTTGGAAAAATCGCCATAACTCTGAGCCATATTTCCGCCATTTTATGAGGTCATCTTTGTGGATATCGGCAATGTGTCCATAATGTACTTTTTAACAGTAAGGTTTTTTATTTTTTAATAATCGGTAACAAACAAGCAATTAAAGTTTATTCGAAGCAAATATAAATTAAAAATATATTTATTCCATTGTCAATTCCATACTTTGTGATAATATAAGATAAAGGCACTTGTAATAATAGCTATTATTCAATATAATATTTTCGCATAGATCGTGACATCCAGCCTTTCCTTAATAACTAGAAAAATTAAAGAAAACTATTACGTAATTTTCAATGTTTTTTAAACGATTCTAGGGCACATTTGCATTTAAGTAATAGTAAGGTTAAGCTATGAGTCATTCGTACAAGCAATTTTATGCACATTATCCATGCAGATATAATTTTTACCGCTTTTACTTGATTAGCAGTTGAATCACATTGGACCCAACTGACACAACCCAGGGAATTCCTATGTCGTGATATGCATATGTAAGAAATGTAGGTACACCTGCTGAATCCGGTAAGATGCGTCAGTCAGTCTGGTTTTTCGTGAACGTTGGGGAGCATTGTTACGTACTTTATTTAGATATACTTTATATGATCATTTTGCTTCTTATTCTTTTAAATAATGTCAATAAAATTCCGATTTACCTATACTAAAAGCCAAGAAAAGAATTGTCTGAGATCGATTTTTTTCTTGAGTAATTTCCCAACTGAAATTCTCAGCGGCTATAATAATTATTTGGGTGTAAATTTTTTATTCGCCAATCCATTTCGGGGAAATGGTCGAAGAAAAAGAGCATATCAAAACCAAAACAAGCACGAATTAAGTAACAATGTGGGATTGTAGAATACATTTTTGAATCATGCCTCATAAACCCAGTTCTTTTTCGTTAGCAATTTAATGGGGGTTATCGGTACATCAATATGCTGGACCAGATCCAGACAAACTTTTTGAAGGAAGATGTTATAATTGTTAATAAATATACTGGCTACAGTCCTGGCGTATTATCTTTTATAATTTTAAAATCTGCCTAAATCTACTTCCAAAAATTGGTCTAATAAATTAGTAAAAACCTGCGTGACACTTATCCCAAATATAATTAATTTGACACCTTACTTCTTTGGGGTGAAAAGCCTCAAAAGAATTAATTATAAAAAAAGCAGTATAAGTAGCTTCAAGAGGATATAATTACAGCGCAAAACTTAAGTTATAACCTTTGCAATAAACCGTTAGGACAATGAAAGTCTTAAGTCTTTAGAAGTGGGAGATCTGACCTAAACGGAAATACAAACGAAACAAAAATACAAGTCGCAAAAAATAATAAGGTTGGATCTACCAAAATTACCAGTATGGGAATTTTATTTGGTCCATTTATTTTTTAATGTTTAACGTTTTAATTTTATTAGGCAAAATAGAAACAATTTATTTCAAAAAGTTTTCCGACGGCAATCAAATGAGGATAACCTAAAATTTGGTATATGGAAAAGATCATTCAAACATACTGAAGCTTCCGTGTCCCCTATCCCGTTCCTAATATATGTTGTTCTAGGTTTAGGGGTAGAGTGGGTGGTAATGTCCGTTGGATATATATAAATCATTCTCTTTTTCTGGAAGGGAAGAGGAATCAAATTCAAAAACCATGAATTTTTCACAATAATCAATACAAAGCAGCTCGCAAGGTTTCTGAAACGATGTGTTGTTTTTTAACTCACTCTTAAAGCGTTTGAAAAAGATTACCTAACAGTTTATATACGTGTGATACCGAATAACCTTATTCGGAATGTTGTTTTCGACGCACGTTTATTAAATGTGGTAAAATAAAATGTAGATTTATTGTGGCTAATTACTATACACTCCTTTGATCGGCTGCCGAAAAAACAAACAAATGAAACAAACACATAATATCCAATAAAATTTACATTCTTGGAGTCAAATCGGGCGAACACTATCAAGATCAATGCGAGGTTGTTGTTTGCGTCCCAGTTTTAAAACCTCATTTAATTATTGAAATAAATTCTAACCGTTGCACAAGATTGTTAGACATTTTGTTTATCACGTATCAATTTTGTCCAAAAGCTTTGCAAATTTGCATGTCAATTTGATGTTTGGCGTCGCCACAGGTTTCACAAGAGACTTGTTTTTTACCAACGTTATGAGAATGTTGAGTTTTCTTGTCTCCATAGACATACGAAAGTAAACGCGTCTGGCCATGGCTAGTCCTGAAAATCATTCTAAAATGTGTGAACACAAAAATTATTGTTATTTTTTCATGGTGCTACAGTCAAATTTGTGATCAATTTTCCTCTGTCAATACAAGTTTGATAATAGTATATTATGCAACAAGTGCGGTAAACGGCAAGTGACTCCCGAGTTTTAGTGTTTAATAAACGAGTGACTTAAAAAGTTTACCGAACGTGTTGCATACTATACTTTTTCTACGACCGTTAGTTTTTGGGTACATTGGGACATGACCGTCAGAATTGACAAACGTCAAAATTTAAGCCGTACGGTAAGATATGTGACGAGGAAAAAATGCACCTAATTTTTTTTATTTTCCAAATGAATCACAGCTTATTCTATGAGACGAAGAAGAGCGTTTTATTCTTCAATTCTTAATGAAAAATCATATTTTTGGAATGAACTATCCTTTCTATTGGATGGTTGATGGATTCAAAGCAACAACCCGTCACTAAATGAAAATTAGTATATTATATAACAAGTGCGGTAAACGGCATTTGAGGCCCGAGTTTATTTGGCACGAGCGACTTAAAGTTTACCAAACTTATTGTACTTTTTCTACGACAGTTAATTTTTGGCTATATTTTTGCAAAACAACACGAATACATTCATTCATGTGAGCGTCAGAATTGACAAACGTCAAATTTCAAGCCGTGCGGTAAAATCTCCGAAAACAGCCGATTGTTCCCAAATCCGTGAGGTAAATCCCGGAAATGTCCGAAGTGGCTCGGATCCGTGGGAAACGAAACTGACGTGTCGCTTCCCGCAAGCTAGATCAGTGTGTAATTAGGTATTTACAGACGGGAGTAGAAAAAGAACTTTACTCTATCCGTTGACTCACCCTGTACATATTTGCATTTCGGCTCGCTAGGACTTTTCCTTCAATGATCAAGCCAAACTGTTTTACCAAGATCGGTAAAATATCACAATAAAAGGGACAAATATTTTTAATAAAACTAAATTTATGCAAAACAGCACGTGTACCTGATGACCATCAGAACAAATGGCTAAAATCCGATCGAACATTGAATATCGAACCCGGGTTATTGTCCAACGTGTGATAGGCTACCACACCAGCCCACCACAGTGTTGAAAATATTCCATGCCACTCGTTACAAACACTGCGCTTATTAACACCTGCTGCCTCTGAAGATCTCGCATTCTCAGGTGCTTTTAAAACAACTTGTACGAAAAATCACTAGTTATCCGTCTGTAAATACGGATACCTATACGCGCAACATTTCAATCTATCTGTAAGAAGTCTGTCCCTGGTTTCATTCGACCACCCGCTAGTTCGATGCATCGGCGATCCTAGTACATCTCAAACGTCCCAAGGGGCTAGCGACATTGGTTAAGGAATATGACGTCTCAAAGTGACACTTTGACACATCAAAATCAGAAAATTAAGTAGTGCTACTTAGAATGTTTTGATGTATTCCGTTTTACAGGATGTAATTTGCGTAAAGAAACAGATTTTTCACATTTCCTGATACACTTTTTCGAATAATAAAGGACGTCACTGTTGTTTAATATAACGAAAAAGTAAAAAAAAAAATCTTGTGTATTTTGACTCTCAAAGTTCTGCTGCAACGAACTGATATACGCTGCATATTAATCTTACAAGAGCGGGCACTATTTTGATAAGGATAAACTTGCCCGGTAATCAACAGATCCATTTTCATGTATCCGATAAAAAGGTTGTGCTATATATAGAAAATAATTAGTTAATAACTAATTGAGTGTAACAAAGGAATACAGTAACATAGATAAAAACACATGCGCCAGCTATGTAAGTAAAGTGAAAACCGCGTTCTTCTGTCACTTCAAATGTGCTAGATATTTCCAGAAAACATGAAAATTGGACGCCCTGAAGGTACAAAGTACAAAGAAACGATTCGTGTTATAAAATATACGGTGATGAACAGGCATGATTGGATTTGAATTTGCATGAATTAGATTTTTTTTAATTAATTTGATAGAGTTATATATTTGCGGTTAATAAATTAAGTAAGATAAAGTTCGGTATTAATTAAACGACTGTGTGACAGTTCGGTGTCCTAATTTGCAAATTCGAATTATAGCAAAACGCAAAAATTGATCGTTTCTCCGAACGTACTAGGCAACGCGGCGTACAAGTTTATAGTGTTTTTAATGCAACTCCGAAATACATGTAATAACAAATGACAGGTGAACGACTTCGATTTGAACCTGTGCCAAGTCGTTTTAATTGCTTGAAAGCAACACGGTACACACTGCTTCTTATTTTAACACGTAGCGAATTTCAGAATGGTATTGCTAGAATGCTGAGATAAACAGAACATTAACAAGTGTCTTAGAGTAATGTCAAGCAAATACGGCAAGATATAATTAGCAAAAGTAGTACCTGAAAATCTCTTAGATATTTGTTTAATAAGTCAATAGAAAAAGAAACTAAATTACAAAATACATAGGCAGCGAAATATTTCCATTTTTTGGTGAAGAATATGGAAAAGATGGAGACTGCTGTAAAGTTTTTTATGACGTTAGGGAAATCACTGGGGTCAACACCTCAATTTTTGCCAGTTTTTTTATTCCGTTTCTATAAAAACCAGGACATTTTATGAAATTCCGTGTTTATCTTAACATAAAACCAAACACTAACAGCGATCATCTAAATTGTATCAAAGAATAACTTGTAACGAAAATGGCCAAAACATAGTGCGACTAGACGAGGGTCAAAGTATTACTATTACTACTAGTACTACTACTACTGATAATAATAATAATAATAATAAAATAAGATCGTATGAACTTTTAGCTGAAAAAACATAAAATATAAAAAAAATACAAAGTGTTTTATTTTTCATCCAATACCTCTGAAAGTCAAAATCAAACTTAAGCTTTTTAGTTTACAGCTATCACACAATTTAAACAGCAATTCTTGGCCATTTTCTTCTTTACAAGTTAATCCTTGAAGCAGCAATTTTAGTTTGCATTCAATGAAAAATAAAACAGTTTCCGTCATTTTATTTTTTCATCTCCATCCATCCATACATTAAATAATCTTATTTTTTTAGAAATAATTGCATCAGTAGTAGCCTAAATAACCGCCGCTTTTCATAAACTCCCTTTTGACCATTTTTTTCCCTTGATGTAGTTTATCCGTTAGTTCTAATTTTGAAAAAAAAAACGGAATTTTGTAAAATGGCCGTATTTCCATGGCAAAGGAATGCATCAGGAACATGGCAAAGATGTCTCGGGATTTAGACAAAAATCCAAAACCACTGCGTCTAATACATATTTAAAAAAAAATTGTCATTAAGGAAACGAGCACAAACCACTCATATTAAAACGCTCTTCTTCGCCTTGTACAATAAGCTATATTATTTATGAAAAAACGGGTACCGCCGTGATTCATTCAGAAAATAAAAAAATTGGGTGGATTCTTTCCTCGTCACAAATATGCCGTTCTTCCGTTCGCTGTAGGCTCCCATTATTAAATTAAGGGTCCAGTATACGACCACAACATTGTCTTGTCAGTTTAATTCGGTCTTCGAGTAGGTACTGCCTTCAACATTCCAAAGGTCTGACACTAAAAATGCCGCGCCACAAATAATATACTGAACGTTTATTGTGGTTGATTATAATTTAAGAAAACAAAAATTGTAATAAAACCCACCCTTTGTCCTTATTTTCGTCGCCTTAAGAAATAACCAAATATAAAATGATTTAAATGATCAAAATCAGAATGAAATGCCATTAATAAGCACAACATTCAGTAGGATCAGAATTTGAGTTCTCTAGCTACAAATTATTATAAAAAAAATTTCTGGTTCCGCCCGGGATCGAACCGGGGACCTTCTGCGTGTAAAGCAGACGTGATAACCGCTACACTACGGAACCACATAGAAAGCATTGTCTATTCCTGCAAGAAATTTGAAATTGAAATAGTTTAGATTCAGAATATAAACTTAAATTGGGACTGGATATCCTTTCCGGGTCATTGCCATACTTGAAGCACCATATGACCAAAACAAAATAGTATTTTCATAACAAAAATCTTGTAGTGTCGTCCCACTTACTGCTTTTTTGATGTTGGCATTATCGATTATAAAATTAGATAAATTTGTGGTATAAACCTTAAAATGGCATTACCACTTGAAAACGGCAGTATCAATTGTTTTGTTTTAAACATTACTTATTACTTAATATGCCAATTTCTCGAGGAACCAGCAAATCTTATAGAACCGGACCGATTTGTTAACAGCGAGCTAGCGAGACAAAAAGAACGAGTATCAGTAAAATATACATAGATGAAATAACGCTGGCAAAACCAAAAAAAGTCTATATGCCCCGGGTGAGGATCGAACTCACGACCTTAAGATTATGAGACTTACGCGCTGCCTACTGCGCTACCGAGGCACTCAGTTATTTAGTGTATCAAAAGCTGATTACATTATGCTTAAACTAGAATTTTTTTCATGTTAATTTTCATAAAAGTGAAAATATAATAAAATGAAAACAAACACTTAAAAATAATCTTACCTTAGAAGGTTCAACGATGAGCCTTTGTTTCCTTTTTATTCTTTCGGGAGCTGCGATTTTTTTATTATCCATTTTCATGGATAGATAGCAAAACCGGTACACAATCAAAAACTTTTATAAGCAGAAATAATATCGTCAATAATTTAAGAGGCAGAAGAGGCCAATACAGGTAACACATCCATATTTTCATCTCACTTATTAGCATAAAAATAAACTCAAGGTGGCTTCAACAATAGAAATAGTTTTCGTGGTTCTACCCACTAAATTTTGTACGTTAAAAACTGCACTTGATTATACATTATTTAGTAATTGCCTGTTCGAAATCGATCATTTCTGTGTTTATTTATTACGGATTTAACCAACTAATCTTTGAAAATAAGTAAACCCAACAAAAATAAATTTCGCACTACGATAGAAATGGTGTGGACATCTATTGACGAAAAGTTCAAGACCGTTCGTTGTTGAAGGAACAGGTTTTTCGAAGGTGGGTGTTGTATAATGTGTTGCGCTTTAAAACTCATTCAAATCATGGTTGCGTGATCAAAAAATTCAAGTATCTTCTTTAGTAATTCAATTGGAATTTGACATGTTCGTCTCATAAACTAATTTAGTGCAGGCCGCGATTGTGTGTGTTATTGACATTTTATTGAAAATAGAGAGGGAACCACAACAAAGTGAATAATTGGTTGCATAATCCGAGTACCAGGTTTTTATGAGAATGTCATGTGGTCCAAATAAAATATATAGAGATGAAACTGATTTCTTTTACCATCAAAAAAGAAAAAAAAATAGGAAAATGAATAATTCTTCAGTAAAAGTAGTTATCTTCTAAGATAATTAGATCTACGCAGGTTAAAGCATAGAAGAAAAGCGTGGTTTTGAATTTTTCATTTGCATTTTGTTAAATAACTTTTTTGTAGTTTTTGCAGATTGCAATAAGAAATATATACACACTTTTTTCTTTAAAAATATGAATTCCGCAAAAAATGTATTTTTTTAATACAAAAAAAATGTTTTACCGCACATAATTTACAAACTAACAATTTTCACTGTATAATAAATAAATTAGCTTGTATTTATATGATTTATATAGCGAAAGATAGTATCTGATGCACAGTCCCTTATTGCATAAGTAAGTCGCTCATTCCAAAACCAAAGTTAACAAAGCATAAATTTCATTAAACACAAAACTTAAAAACATATGGACAACAAAATATGTTTTATTTAAAGTAATTAATAAGGTAACTAAAAGCAAACGCTTTTTTATAAAAAAAATGTTTTAACTTTTACATATGTGGTTTTTAAACATGTGAATTTTCAGTATGTAATCTAATTGGTGTTTATAAGAAAAATCTTTGAATGCCACTATGGGTACTGTTTTTGTAGGTTCACCAATACAGAACACAATTTTTTTGTATCGTATATCGATTTGTTTTTAACTAAAATTCATGTTCATCAGATTTATTTATTATTATTATGTTAGGGCGTGACTGCAACCAAAAATAAACAGTGACAAGTCTTTTAAATTGGTAAAAATATTTGTAAATAAAAAAAAAACATTTTTTTATCAAAACTTTTACATTCTGTATCTTAAAAGTGAGGTAGGTTGATGTGGGCACTGTGTACATATATTAATCAACAGGGTATATCACTGAAACCATCAGCTTCGTTTCGTCAGTTCGGGACTGTGTACTCCGCAGAGTACCAACCCTGGGCCTTATCCTTTTTAAAACGGTTACAATTCTAGCATTGATAATCAATTCGTATTTGTATTGAGTTATGGAGTAACCAAAATCTACTGCCACTATTTTTCTACATACATGCCAGCCAAAAGTTATATAGTAGTAAACTGTACCGCGTACACTGCATACAATGGTTTTCCAATATTGCTGAGAAGCAGTAGCCCTATTCGTCAGTATTTAATAACTAATATAATACATAAATATAATGTATCCATTTCAGTCAGCACTATATGGAAAACTTTTCAATTATTTTTTATAATTTTTTTTTTACCAAATATTCTAGATAATGAAATGCATATGATGCAATGATAATGAAAATGTCGATCCAACTACAAGTTTTTTTGACAAATATGAATTTTATGCAAGGGTAAAGTAATTTTATTTTTGAAAATATCAAAAGTTGTTATTAAGAAAAGTGAACAAAACCTAGTTTACAGGTTCAAAATAATAGGTATGTCTCCGGGTATGGACAAAAAATCGTTTCCTTATATTATCTGACAAAAAAAAGGTACATAATCCAGATTCTCGATTTTTTTTTTATATTGATTGTATTTATTACAGCGTCATTTGCTGATAATACAGGAATTTATGAAGGAACTATGAAAACATTTCTGACCTTACGGTATTCAACAATCAACATGGCCGCTGACAGATCGCCAATAAGTATGGATGCAGTATTTTTCTTTATTTATTTACGGTTTAACCAATTTACAAAATGTTCACATTAATTAAAGGCAAAGCGAGAAAGACAGCAGTATAACAACTAGAAACCAGAACAAAATGTAACATTAACAATAAATAGAATTGACACATCAGAACGAAATGAGCGGAGGCTGCCGAAAAAAGGATCAAGCTTTAAACAGTAGCACGCTTTCAGCATTATAGTAAGGGGCGAATAAAGTCAATAATTTGCGTGATGGTAAAGTATGCTGAAGATTGAGTTATCACGGCTTCTGTAATATGCGTTAAATTGTATGCTATGTAGAAGAGCTGGACAATAATACCAACCATTCAGAATCTTAAAGAGAAAAACTAAATCACTCTATAATACTGTAGTTTATCTGATACCCATTAGAGATAGTGATATGCGCCTCTGATGCCAAAGATCTTAAAAATACTTTCTGAACGGCTTCGATGTTATCTATATGGCAGGCATAATATGGACACCATACCACAAAGGCATACTCCAGTCTAGAGCCAACTAAAGAGATATAAAGGAGTTTAAGGCAATGTGGAGTAAGTTGGCCACTATTGCGTACACAAACTCAAGGAGTCGCATACACAGACCTGTTTACCACTTGGACAAAATGTGTCACAAAACTTAGTTTATAATCGAAGGAAACACCAAGGAAAGTATTCAATACTTAGTAACCATCCATCCATCAATATTGGTTGTGAACCACACTCAACGAACGACTAAAGCTAATACAAACAGCATTTCTTTACATTGAACGCGAGGCTATTAATCTTAGACAACATGCAAACAGTGTTTACGTCCCTCTGGAGCAGCAGAACATCCTCGCGCGATCCAACCGTCCTGAATATCTTCAAATCATCCGCAAACAAAAGACACTGCGATTCCGCGATCATTTTTAAACAAGTTAAAAAGGATGGGTCCAGTGTGAGAACCTTGGTGGACTCCCGAAAAAATATCAGTTTTACCTGAGACATAATTATTAATCCGAATCAACTTAGTATGACCAGACAGAAAACACTGAATCCATTGCACCAGCCCAGCCCCCAGGCCCAAAGCGGCACTATTTTCGGAAAACATGTCCAGATCCCATTAAATCTCCAGGCAAAAAAAAGTTTGTGTGAATATCGCTGTTTAGAAAAAAAAAGGAGCAAAGTGCAGGTTAGTGAGTTAAATGAAGAGGCACGCGCGGGAAATCAGTCTCTTTTCCACCCTTGTAAAGTACGTAGTTAGGCTTTAGGCTTTTTAACTCCACCATTGTAGAAGTCATAATTCGCACATGTCGCACTCTTTACTCACTTGTAATAAAAATAGTTATTCTTCTTCAACCTTAGGCAATTTTTTAAATACATTTTGAATACGTTTTCTTAAAATTTTTGTTGTCGTTTGTCATATATATAGCTTTATTTCATTTTAAAATTTATTTAAAATAGGCATTTATTTCATTTTCATTTTAAAATTTATTTAAAATAGGCATTGTTCCCCATTAAAATGCTGACGATATTCTATTAGTAGACTTCGAATAAAGGTTTTGTATTTATAGTAGTACAGGGTGAGTCGACGATAGCGTAAAATTCATTATCTCATTTGCTTCAAAAGTTATGAGCAAGTTGTAGAGATTGTTAGGATGCACTATTTAGAATTATTTTAATGTATAAAGCATACATTTTATTAAATGCAAAACAATATTTATATGTTTTTTTAATTCGATTTGAAATTCTCCAACCTTTTTATTAATAATTATACATACCTAAACATAGGAGTTTTTCCAATATTTTGATTTTTCTAAAAAATACTAGTTTTCACACTGGCAAAAAAATTTCGAGAGCGCCATTATTTTTTATATTAGCCTAAATGATATGCAAGGGAATTTGAATTAGATGCCATAGAGTGTTCAAACTAAAATAAACATCTGGATCATTTTAAAAATGTCGATTTTCTTAAATGGCACACCACATACCACACACCACTCATTGAAAGATTTTACAGAAACCTACTACTTTTATTAAGTATGCAATATACCTATTTCCAATACGATTTATTTTAACTTGTCCAATATTTCTTCTTTTTGTCTAAGACTATTTTCCGGGAGCCCTGGATCTTTTTTCAAAATAATAAGCAACTATTGAAAACTCTTGTTTTGTTAGAAAAAATAAAATATTGGAAAAAAAATTGTTTAGGTATGTATTATTATTAATTAAAATGGTTTTGTGAATTTTGAAAGGAATTCAAAATAAAACATTGTGTTCCATTCAAAAAAGGTAAATCGCGCTTTTTTGAGCCACTCTGTATAGTTTAAAATAATTTTAAATTGTGCATGCTAACAATTTCCATAACTTTTATATATACCATTTTGTCATAACTTTGGAAACCAAGGAGATACCGAACTTTACGCTATCGTTGACTCACACTGTACAGTACAATATTAATTTTTAAAAAGTGTCTTGGCAACAAATATAATAATATGTAAGTTCGGTATGTCTTCAAATATGCAAACATTATTTGATAGAAATTTATTATTTGAAGATATACTCCCAAATTAATAATACAGACGACATGCAAACTTTTTTTTATCAGGGTTGTTAATGTTACGGTTACTTTAAAACATGCAATATTATAAAGTTTAAATTAAATGGGCTTAAATGGTCATCAAGGTACCTTCTTAATAAACAATTTTATTTTCGTACTTCCTACTATAAAATACTCAATTATGCACTCGTCAGGCGAGCGCAAGGTGTCAGCTTTTCTGATACTTGCAGAAAGTTTCATTTTTGCATTGTCCATTGTTCCCAGCCACTTCGGACATTTTCGATATTTTAGAAGCGAACTGATGTTTGTGCTGTTTTGCAAAAATTTACCCAAGAAATAATATAGATAAATAGAAAAAGTATAGTATGCAACTCGATGAGAAACTTCTTCAG